GAGTGGGGAACAATGCCACACATAGTCTCAAGCCTACCTCTTTCCCTATGCTGCTTTTCCAAAGCAGTGAAGAGGCTCCCTGAGGGTTGGAATGACACAGGGTTAGTACTACTTTTCTCCACACAGATCAGCTTTTTTGCTCCAAGATGCAGAGGGAAACCACGTGCCTCACTGTATGCAAGTGGTTATGGTGATGCCAAACCTATTACAGGCCAGTTCAAGTAAATATCTAGTTACCTAACTGAGGATGTGGTCTGTCATGTATACTATTGACTGGGAACCCCAAAATGAACGTCTTAAAAAATCCCAACAATTTATAGTACATACTCTGAATCCAATTCTGAAAAACTGCAATGCTCCGTTTGTCTTTAGGGTCCCATGCAATGATCTGTAAAAATAATCTTTTATGGGCCATTTTTGCAAATGCTGAAGGACATGAGAAATTCTCCAGCTGTGACATCATAGCCACAGGTCTGAAATGGAAATGTAAAATCCGTGATTTGTAGTTTTACTTATAAAAGCAGAGAATCCATGCTGCTGAGGCCAGGAATCAAGCCAAGATATCAAAGAGTCCGTTCCACAAAAATTAAACCACAACAGCTGAAGAACAAAGTTTGCATGAGGCTTCTGTTAACTTGCTGAAAATCTTAACGGAGTTAAGTAGGATATTAACCTCAGTATTCATTATCCCAGCAGCCCATTTATCAGAAAATTGTTAGTTCAACAACAAGTAGCTCAAGTCTGATTTGTTTTGGACTCACTAACATCATTAAGCTGTTTATTTTTTCCTCTCATAACCAAAACTTTGTTTTTGCACTTAAAGGAATAAAGACAAGTTGAAATCTAGCAATTAAACTAAATTATACGTCTTTTTTTTAAGGTGTTACTCTTGCCATGAGAGCACCTTCTAATTTTTTCTGATCACCTCTTTTTTTTAAAAATTTTCCCCCTCCTCCTTTGCTGCTGTGTCAGAGACCCACCCAAACACGGGAAACTGACTATACTGGATAAAGAGTGGAATTGACTATCCACAAGGTGCTGTGAAATGCACAAAGTATAACTGCAGGGGGGAGGATTTCTCTGTCTAATCTTTCATTTACAGTGTTCTTAGACATTTTTTGTAATAATAATAGGCAAAAAAAAGATTCACACAAACAACCTTTCAATTGTATGGTTTGATCACTTATTAAACAAACACTGATGCTATGGAGACTTGAATCTTTTACCATGACACTGTTACAGACTTTCTGATCTCATGACTCTGACTTAATAATACTGATTCATAGTTAACTGAAAACTATCAAAATCTTGCCTCATTAAGAACTGAGTTTGCACCTCCTTCCCATTCCGAGCCCCTCAGATATATCCAAATGAATGGTAAACTATGAAAATGGCTTAATTCAAAGCCTGTCCTTAACTGTAAGAAGTGGATTGGCACTGGGCCATGGTAATTCTGAATTTACTCTGTCCCCTCAGAATAGCACCACACTATGCCCTGATCTACACTACAGACTTATGTCAGTATGACTACTTTGCTCAGGGGTGTGGAAAATGCACACCCCTGAGCAACGCAGTTATACTGACTGAACTTGTGTAGACAGCACTGTGTTGATGGGAGGGCAATGGTAGTGTCTACACTAAGCACTGCAGCCGTGCCACTGCAGCATGGTAAGTGTAGACAAGCCTTATGTGTAAGTACATTTTTCTCAAGGATACTCACAGCAACCACAGAATTACAAGTGACCAATCTGGGCTCTCACACGGTTGCATTTTCCCATGGAAGAACAACTGACTCTCACTTTTTATAGGTTTCAGAGTGGTAGCCATGTTAGTCTGTATCAGCAAAAAGAACAAGGAGTACTTGTGGCACCTTAGAGACTAACAAATTTATTTGAGCATAAGTTTTTGTGGGCTAAAGCCCACTTCATCAGATGCATGCAGTGGAAAATACAGTAGGAAGATATATACAGAGAGAGAGAGAGACACACACACACACAGAGAACATGGAAAAAGTGGAGGTTTCCATACCAACTCTAATGAGAATAATCGATTAAGGTGGGCTATTATCAGCAGGAGAAAAAAACAACCTTTTGTAATGATAATCAGGATAGCCCATTTCAAACAAACAGTTGACAAGAAGGTGTGAGTAACAGTAGGGGGAAAATTAGCATGGGGAAATAGTTTTTAGTTTGTGTAATGACTCATCCACTCCCAGTCTTTATTCAAGCCTAATTTAATGGTGTCCTATTTGCCACTGACACCACTGAAAGATGCTAAAGAAGACAAGGGGAAGAAACAAAGACTATTTAAGGGAGTGGGGAATAAGGAAGACTCAGAATGAGTGACAAAAAAGAGAAGGCAAATTCCACCTTCTGTTACACCTGTGTGACTCCAAATTTAAGAAAACAGAACTGTGCCCAGTATAAATGAATACAGAATTTTTTCCTCAGAAAGACAAAGGGAGAAGAGACAGGTACATGCTATTGTCAGCTGGACCAAATGCTTAGAGAAACTAAGCCCAAATAAAAAATCAGTTACTTAATGTTTTAATTTTTTAGAGCGGAAGACTGTTTTCTGTAACAGCATGTAGGGATGCATTCACAAAAATATAAGACAACCTAGGCCCTACTTTCACTGAACAGCTCAGTGTACCTGCTCAATCCATGTACAAAAAAAAGATTACTCAGCTTGAGTTTGGTTAGCAATAAGACCCAATCTTTGCAACCATTTCCCAACCTTAACACAACATGGTTTTTGCACAGTTTGATGTCTCTGTAGATATATATTTTTTTAAAACTGTGTGTCACTAAACCATTTTACCAGATTATCCCAATAGCAGGTTGGTAGTTTGATTTATGAACAAAGCTGGAAGAGCGTATGGGACAGATGGCTGCTAATATGAATTTTCGTAACTCCCTTTACTTCAGTGGAACTATGACAGTTTATACCAGTTGAGATCTGTCCCTAAGGGTTTGGTTGTTGGGTGGGGATGCAAGCCATGCTGCAATAGCCATGTTTGGACGTATTCATATTTGAAAAACAATTTCAAATGTTGTTATACACTTAAGGGTCTAATCCTGTAGAAACAGCTTCATGGCCTGTGAGGCATTCAGTGTAGGATCAGGTCCTTCATGAGAAACACTGTCATTAATTAATGAAAGCTGGGGTATCTCAATTATTAACAGAAGAAATGGATCTTTCAAGAAGAAGGACAGTGGGTAATGTTGAATAATTCAGGAATATGACAAAGGGAACAAGGATACAGTAACTTTATATCTGTGTGTTTGCATTGGTCCAACAAAAAAACGTGAATATCAGTTTTCAAGACTTCTATTTCTCTCTCATAAAGGTTTCTGTATGAAATAGTAACATGATTTTATAACAGCATAAAGCAATTTTGGAATCCTCCTCAAAACACAGGGTAACGTTCTGACAAATAAAGAACTGTTACATATCTTTCTACTGTACTAGAATATACCCAGTGTGGATAAATTGTTTTACATTCGAAAGGCAGGCTATATACAAGTATAGTGGATCTAAGAAATTGTTGTGTGATTGATCGGTCACGGGCATAATAATGAAAAAGGAAACTCCTTAATGACCAAATTCAGAGCTGGTGTAACATGGTATAACTTTGTTGAAGTCAGTGGATTTACACTGGCTTACACTAGCTCTGAATTTGTCTCAAACGGTGGGTATAGTCAGAAAGGTGGTCCCGTAAAGACAGCATCTTGATACACCAAACGTATGCTCCCCATGGGCCAGACTCACCCCAGTAATCAGGTTAGTTTACTAGAAAAAGACATTTCACAGGATCATTTTGTCATCTTACAATGCGCATAGCTCCGCTCCTGTCACATTTAAAAACCAACCAACTAAAAGCTTTAAATCTAAACACTCAATAGCTGCTAAATTTTAACTAGATGCCTGGTCGGCAACTGAAAGGTAAATATCCATCAGTAGGAAAATGGAGAATCATTACTATTGTCAGAGCAAACCGCATTTAATTGCAGAAGCCTGGCAAAACCTGAAAGAGTGGGGGACGGCGGAGAATGCGAAGAGACTAGATCACAGTGACAGACCAGAAAGAAAAAGCCTGCTGCTGGCTGGGATTATTCGCTTGCTGTAGCTTTCCTCAGCCCAACAGGACCCAGCCAAATTACTTAAAACAAAATGTATTTGAAGTGCCTTCTTAAAATGCCTTAAGACCTGCTGTGAAATTCATCAGGAAGAAAATGCAATTGTCTATATTTACCAGGACCTGGCCCTCACAAGTTTTTCCCCGACATGCAGAGAGGACAGAGTAAACTTATAGTGCTAAACACTTGTCATTGGATCACTACAACCGTGTATGTGCTCACAACTAAGGAACGTGTGACTCCCTGCTTATCTCTTTGTAAGGTCCGGAAGGAAGACTAGAAAGCCCCAACCCTGCAACATGTATGCACATGCTTAATTTTACTGCTGTTAGCAGTCACCCTAATTTCAAATGTAGTAAGGTATGTGTATGAAGTGTTTGTAGGATTGGGGCCTTGGAGAGTATTAATAAAATTGCCCTATGCAGCAGCAGGTGTCCCATTCTATTGAACTCTCAGGCAAAAAAACCTGGTTAAAGCGAAGTTAAGCCTAGACCTGGATAAATTTTAAAAATAATTCACCGAACCATCTCTAGAAAATCAGTTTTCCCCTTCAGCTACTGAAATACATTTTGCACACTTTAATGTTCTCAAACAGCCATAGGAAACCTACAATTTTTTAAGGCAGTGGTGGGCAACCTGAGGCCTGCACATGGCCCATCAGGGTCAGCTGCTGGCAGGCCCTGCCTGAGGATGGTCCATGTAACACTGTGTCAAAGCCTGCCAGCGGATTATCCTGACAGGCTGCAGACAGGCCAAAGGTTGCCCACCACTGTTTTAAGGTAATTTAAAAAACAGAAATTATGGAAATGCACAGTTAGTATTTCTACAACAATTTTAAATCAAAACCTTTCCTGTACTCACAGAGGATTGTATCATCAGTTATGGCATGGTCTCTCTCTTTCTCTCTCTATTATTCTCAATCACAAGCTGGGAAGACTTCACCTTCTCAGGGACCCATGAAATGCCACAGAAGTCCTACTTTTTAATTTATGAATAAGCAAAGAACATAACAAAAGACAATCATTCCCCACCATTTATAAGCATGTTTTTGTTGCCAATCTTAAACGTATCATGAGACATAGTTGTTGTGGTTATGTATACAAACATCTCATGCAGATATAATCAAATCGTGCCACTTACATTGCAAGATCATAAGTTAGCATAGTTAGTTTACTTTATAAGGTGTTCTGAGAATATTAGGCCCCTATTGTATAATATAATGTATTCCAGTACCTATTAAAGTCGACTGGACTCAGAGAGTAAAGGAATTGCCCCAACACATCAGAAGGCATGATCCAGGACCTTAAAATGACTTTGTACAGCATGCTGAAACTATAAAGTTCTATAAACTAGGACGTTCTAAATAATTTTTATTCATTTTTTTAAAAAGGGAAAATAAAATGGAGCCGAGCAGAGTATACACCAGCCAAAAATCGAACACGGAAATTACAGGAATAGATTCCATACAGAAAACATTCTTACATAAGAAACAATTAAAATTCTTTAGTCATCCTTTCAGTTTTAACTTCTGCAAACCCAGACCAGGTTTCCCTAGGTACCTCTCCTTTTTCATTTATTAACCTGCACCGCTTGCTTTGGACTTGCACTGCATTATTTCACACTGTCTATGCCTAACTACTTATCTAGCACCCAGAGTTGCATACTGATAGTTTAGATCTGTGGGCATCCTGCTGGTCAAGCCTGCTGCCCTGGCCTCAGGAATTAAAACTCCAAGGGCTGAATCAGGCCTGTAATCTCCTTGCACCTGTGTTTTCAGACGTGCGCATAGTGGATACGCCGGCGGAGGATGAGATTCAGACAGACGCACCCTGCTACTAAGGCCGGAGCGCACAAGTGCAAGCCCCAGGGCGCCCCAAGCCAGTGGGAACCTACCAGGGCAGATGCACCCTCAATAGTGCACATCACGCTCGCTGCGTGTCACCTTTTGCTCCCCCAGGCTGCAGCTCCGGCTCCCACCGCCCTCACCTGGGCTCCCCGCCTGCTGCCGCCTGGCAGCCGGGCCCATCCGCTCCGAACCCCTGCCGCTCCCGGATCCCAGCCGCCGCCCCCCTTCCGCGCTCCGCTCATTTGCATATTTTTACCTCTGTGGCCGAAGTGCAGCCAGTCAGCGAGCGCGGCGGCCAGCGCAGCTCCTCCCACCCGCCCCGAGGCGGTGGCATCGCCGGCGCGACACGCCGGGAGGGCGCGTGAGTTGCCAGCGCACTGCGGGCTCGAGCTGCCACCTGCCGCGAGGGAGAGGCGAGCGCTCGGACAGCAGGCGCCAGCCCGAGGGCCTCGCCGCTCCTGCCTTCGCTCGCTCGCTGGCTGCCCGCCCCGCCCGCGGCAGCCCGGTTCTCCCGCCGCGGCGAAGGGCGCTGGCGAGATGGTTTGCGGGGGCTTCACCTGCTCCAAGAACTGCCTGTGCGCCCTCAACCTGCTCTACACGGTGAGTAGCTGCCGCTGCTCCCGGCCCAGCGCCAGCCTGTGCCCCTGCTGGGCAGCTCCTTGGGGGGCTCCGGGCCTGAGTGTGACTCCCCCCCGCTCGGGGGAAGAGGGAGGCAGAGCAGCTCCCCTGCGTGTCAGGCTGCCGCCTGCCTGAAGCAGGCGAGGCTGGGGCGTTGCGCCGGTGCTTCTGCCTCCGCGTCAGCCAGGGCACCGCCGAGGAGCCTCCGGGATCAGCAGCTGCTCCTGGCTGGGCAGCGCGTGCAGGCAGAGCAGAGAGATCGGCCAGGGAGTTAAAAGACCAGCAGCTGCTGGGGTCTCGGTGTCCGGCTTGCCTCACAGTCTCTTTGAAGGGGGAAGTCCGCCTTGAATCGTCTGGGAGACAGACAGGGTTGTTTGACCACGCGTCAGACTTGTGTAGGGATGGTGCAGAGATCTGTACGCTCCTAGGATGCGGGGGGAGGGGAGCTTGGATTGGCCTGTGAATCTATTTTGTTGATCAGTAAAGTCTCCAGTGTTCAGTATCAGTCTGGTTGCTAATGCTAACTAACTACAATTGTTTTAAAAAGAACAGGAGTACTTGTGGCACCTTAGAGACTAACAAATTGATTAGAGCATAAGCTTTGGTGGGCTACAGCCCACTTCATCGGATGCATAGAATGGAACATATAGTAAGAAGATATACACAGAGAAGGTGAAAGTTGCCATACAAACTGTAAGAGGCTTTGCAAATACAGACTAACATGGCTGTTTACTCTGAAACCAATTGTTTTAAAAACCATCCTGCCGTGCTGGTGATGCTGGTGATTTGTAAACTGGAGCAACGTGTCTTGTTTCAGATCAAAATACACCTTCGTCTCCTTGAGACCCGTGCTTATCTTGTTTAACTGCTGACCAGTGCACTTTAGGCTCTGGAAGCCTTCTCCCCCCCCACCCCCAAACTTCCACCTGACTAAATCATCACGTGTCACCTATTGCATTTAGTTTCTCATTTATTATGTTATAAAACAAGCCAAACCAAGAAAGTGGGGAAAGAGCACTGCAAAGCCTGAATGTCATTTGGTTAAAGTTGAGAATAAATCTGCTCACACCTTTTTTTAGTTAGAAAGATCTCCTTGTCCAGTGAAGGAATGAGGAAGGCTCCTTTTTTACATTTTTGCCATAGTGCTTTGTAAGGTGCTAAAAAGAGGTCCCTTTGGCATGATTACATGTAAAACTGCTGTACTTGTATGTCATTTTGGCTCTGCAAAATCTTTTATCTAGGCTGCACATATGAGCAAGTTCATTCAATAGACACTTATACACAGTGAGGGGAAAATATTAAAGAGCCTCTAGCTACTCTAGCAATAGTGATTTAGAAATGCCTACAATAATTTCATATGTCCATTTCCTTTTTAAAAATGAGTAATATTTCAAAACATTGTTGGGTAGGGTACTGGCTGTTTAGGGAGGAGGAGATGTAAAATATTTTGTTTTTTACTGGATTTAAAAGTTGTATGTGCAAATGACTGACTCACTGCAGTGCTCAAATTTAAAAACAACCTTATAAATTTTACCCCCCCTCCCCCAGTAGAACTAAGTAGCTATTTCCAATACATAAAAGAAAACAAAATTTGTAACTAATTTTTTTTTTTATTATAAGGCTTTTTGGTGCAGAAGCAGGGAGAAGTGTAGCGAGGTGTTATAACTGTTTCCTTCCACAGATCTCCTAAAAATCTAAATTTAATCGTTATAACATGCATTTAATATTTTTGTTACTTTTACATTTGACAATAATGTAAGAGAATGCCAGGTCAGCCTGGATATCCCGTTTGGAATCCACTGTAGTTCTGCATACTGGCACCTTTCTGGAGATAGCATCTTGTTCTCTTGAATCTCAGCTTTAATTTAACAAACAAAAGTAAGTCTCTAGCTGTTATGGATGTGAAGAAAACCTCAAATATGTAAGAGTGTAAACTGATGCAAAGATGTGTTTCTAAGTCCAACATTGTTAACTGTTTAATTTCTCATGTAAGGGAGGACAGAGAGACTCACAGGTCTGCACAATGTACTGAGTGACATTCTCCTTTTGGTGTCATGGCTGTGGTGGTGTTTGGAAGATAACACCACTTTCCTCCTCTTTTCCCTCTTCTCTTCCCCTCCATCCCCCAGTTACTTAGTAACTAAGCCCAAGGAGTCTTGCAGAGCCTATGGGCAGATCAGCACCACCAAGGGGGAGCTACATGTTCATGTTTTAAACGCATCCACAGAGAACTACGTTATCTTGTTTTAAACACCTGCACAATCTAATGTGAGAAGGCCTCATTTTGACAACTTGTGTTTTATTTTGTGAAGAGCATTGCCACTCTTTCCCACCCCCCGAATACCCCATCTGATCCCTGTAGGAAATGTAATTGTAGTTAGAAAAACAAATGGGACTTCTCTTTACAACAGGGGTGGGCAACCTGTGGCCCATGGGCCTAACGTGGCCCATCGGGGTAATCCGCTCAAGAACCGCCGCCACTGGGAGCTGCAGGTGGCTCTGCAAATGTAAACACGCAGTCTGCCGGCCCACTTGCAGATTAGCCTGATGGGCTGCATGCGGCAGCTGCAGGTTGCCCAACACTGCCTTACATTAAGGTCAAGTAAAACCAAGCCAGAAGACTTGTGTCTGTAGATTTTTGAGTCACAATAGTATTGGTAATGCTGTATTCTACTCAAAGCTGGCCTCACCAGTGCCTGATCCTACAAGATGCTGAGTCTGCTCAGTTCCTTGGGTGTTGACCTGACAATATTAAAAATCAAAGCACTCCAATCACGGCAGTACAGCTGACTTAAACTGGTTTAAATGTCTAAGTAGGAAGAAATGCAGAAAGCAACCAAAGCATGAATAAAAACAAACTGTATTTTAAAAAAATGGATCCTCTTCAAATAATCCAATGAGTGAGTAACATGACTAAAAAAATTTCTTTCTGACATATGAGTTAGTTGATGGCATCTCTTGAACAATTTCTGTGTCTGGAATTGGGACAATATAGCTTAGTATGTGAGGTGTCTTTTTATATTCCATAGTAGTAGCTAATTTATCCTGGGAATTGCAGGTTCTTACTGTAGCCTCTAAAAGCTTATAATTCATATTCTGTCACTTTAAAATAATATCTTAATTTTCAAAACAACCAAGCAGGATATTACAAGTCACTATTGGCACTGACTTTACAGGTACAATAGTGAAAAGTAACTTCTGTTGAGTATGATAAGTTCATTGCTGTAAATTGTCTGAATGAATCCGTGAATGAAATGGGTGTGGTGGGGTTTTTTTTGTATTGTTTTGTTTTGTTGACACCTTGCAAAAAGTCTAAAATGTTTCTGCCTTCAGTGGGCTAATTACTTTCTTCTTTTTAGAGTATGTTTTGCTGATAACTTATTCTCTCCTCCACTTAATTGTTGGAGGTCTGCTTCAAATGTGCTTAAGTCCTGGTCCTGCAATTTGTGACTGCCCATGCAGAGCCTCACTCACCACACTGGGATTCAGTGTGGGAACAGGGAATCTAATCTGCCCGCATACAGTCAATTGAATGTGAGTAGTTGCACTGAAGCCTGTGGGATTACTCACATACTTTAAGTGCTTTTTCTTGACTGAAGACTTACTGGGAAAATTGTTTTGTATTTAAGGAACATCAATTTGAAATCTAGTCAATTAGGAGAAAAAATATGTAATTTCACGTCCCCGTGCCGATTTTTGAGGTTTTTGCAGTTACATTTTTTTAAAACACGGTTTTTCGCCTGTTGCTATTCCAGAGGGTAAAATGACTGTCTGCAAAGTATTGTCAAATAGAAATGTATGTGGTTTGTGTATAACATTATATATTAAAAAAAATATGCTGCTAAACTTTCAGTTGGTAATTGCAGTAATATTAGCTTACATAAATGAGACAGGATTTTCTTTAAGTAGATAGTTCCTCTTTAATGACTGTGATTAAGTAAAGGTGTTGGCAGTTAATATCTTGTTTAATCAGTTTATCGGAAGGGGAATATTGAAGTTGCAGTTAACTATCAAAACCTAAATAGGTAGCTCTGCTGTGAGGATTAATTTAACTAAAGACCTGCTGACAACCATCCCACCAAAAACCACTTGTCTTGTATCCTCTGAGCAACAGCCTAAAGAGTTAAATTTCTGTTGCTGCAGGAACTGTAGAGACTTAACTTTGAAATTTTTTTAAAACTTTCAATATTGCAACTTGGATTTTTTTTTTAAATTATTGAATGTGTTTACTTAAATTACATAAATATTTACTGTAGATGTGGCTTCATTTTTTTTCCAGTTAAAGGTATGTAATTTTAGCTAGTACAGAGTTCATGATGTAACTGCACCTTGTTTGTTTAATCAATGGAAAATACCAAATATCTGATAGTGGTTTGTAACTGAGCTCACGTTTATCTACTGAGGGTATGTAAAACTGTCTTATACTTTAGTATTACTTTGAAATTATGTCATGCTTTGTCATGTCATGCTCCATATTTCTATAACACTGCCTGTTGTGCTGATGGATTATAGTAACTACAGCTGTTGTAATTACTGGATTAATGCTACGTCCTTTTTCTGTTTTTCAACAGGTTCCCTTTCCCCATCTCCCAATATAACCTGAAAATAAAATTTGCTCTGAAATTTCATAAAAGATCTTGGATGAGGACAGAAATTCTCATATTGAGAAGACAACCCTTTGCCAGCCTGGCTATTGACAACAAGGAACATGGCTAATAGCAAAGCATTAGCCAAGTGCGGGTGGACTCCATCATGGGAAAAATATCTTCCAATGCAAAGCTAGTGAATCTGTCCTCTTTTCAAGGATTCCCTCTATTGGAGATCCTAGTGTAGCCAAGAAGAGCCACCATGTCAGTTTCTTTGCCACCCCTTCCTTACCCTTGGCACAGTGGGTTTTCCCAGGGTAAACAGGGGCAGGTGTACCTATTTCCCAGTGATTTCTCACTGTTTCAATGGCTTCTTGGAATCATGTGCAGTCAGGA